TTGCCAGACCCTATCTCTAAAAACACTATCACAAAAAATTGGGGTAGTGGAGTGGCTCCAGGTGAAGGCCCTGAGTTCAAGCCCCAGTACCACAAACAAAACAAAACAAAAAACCCTAAATCTATCATCTATCCATTCTTTTTTTTTTTTTTAAGACAGGGTCTCAAACAGGCTAGCCCAAGCCTAGCCTTGAACTCACTACTGCACTATTATAGCCCAGGCTACCCTTGAACTTTTCATCTTCCTACTTCAGCCTCCTGAGTACTGGGATTATAGTTGTGAGCCACCATGCCCAGTTTAAATATATTCTTAAAACAGAAAAACACAAATTACTATATAAAGTGGGGAATAAAGGAAAAAATATTGATATATACCCACAACACAGATGAACCTCAAAAGCATTACGGTATGTAAAAGATATTAGACAAAAAGACCACTTCTGTATTATTCCATTTATGAGATGCCCAGAAAGGGTACATGGAAACAAGCGCGTTAGTGGATGCCTTGGACGGGGAGAGGAAAAAGGGAGTAACTGTAAATGGGCAGGAGGGACCTTAATGGGGTGACAGAAATAGTCTAAAAATGAATTGTTGTTGTGATAAATTTACTTTAAATCATTCCATTATACACTTTCAATGAGGAATTTTATGGTATGTAAACTATATCTTGTGAAAGTTGTTTTTTAAAAATAGAGGTTGGGTATCCATGGAAGGGTAAACTCAGAGGGTAAAGGAGAGTGAATATGGTTGATATACTCTGTATGCAGGTATGAAAACAGAACAATGAAACCTGATGACATAGTTCTAAGAGGATGGAAGATGAGGGAGAATGATGGGGTAAATCTAACCAAAATACATGTGAAGTACATATGTAGGTGTCACAATGAAAGCCCCTGTACAACTAATATGTGCTAATAAAAAAGTCATCACTGATAGGCATACAGAAACAGAAATGGTTCACCAGCTGACCTGAACTACAACAAATGTCAAAGGAAGCCCCATAAGCAGAAGGTAATTAACAGATGGAAATATGGATCCATAAAAAGGAACAAAGGGTACTAGAAATGGTAAATACGTGAGTAGTTATATAACTCTTTTTCCCCCCCAGTACTAGCGACTGAACTCAGGACTTGTGCTTGCTAGGCAACTGCTTTATTACTTGAGCCAGACCCTCCCCCAGGCCAAGATTTGTTTTTAACTTTTACAAAAGATAATCAACTGTTTAAGTAAAAATAATAGCAATATAATGTTTTTAGAACATGAAAAGCTTGGCAACAGAATAAAGACTGGTAAGGAAGAAATGGAAGGTTCTGCATGTGAAGGTGTTTATTGCTTGAAAATAAACTATGATAACGATGTATGCTATACACACTGAAACACTAAATAATAAAAAGAATAACAGGTTATAAACTAACAAAGAAGATAAATAGAGCTGTTAAAAAATTCAAAAATTTTAAAAAGCATTTAAAATTAATTGGTTCAAAAGAAGATTCTTTTTAAAAAAAGAAGGGAAAGGAAACAAACAAAAAAACAAATAGAAAACAAATGGCAAATGGGAGGCTCATGCTTAACCACATCAGCAATCACATGAAATGAAAATGGTCACTCATAAGGCAGAGACCTTCAGACTGGACAAAAAAGCCCCAAATATACACTACTTCCAAGAAACACACATTAAGTATAAAGATATAAACAGTTTAAAAGTAAAAGGACAGAGAAAGATATAGCTAGATTTATGCTAAAACCAATTAAGAAAAGAGAAGGCACAGTAATATCTCCCATGCCAAATTTCACAGCAAACAACATTGCCACGTATACGGAAGTCATTTCATAACGAAGGGTCAGTTCAGCAAGAGGACATGCCAGTCTTAAACAGTTCTAACAGAGCTGAAAATTACATTTCGAAACTGACAGGTATACGAGAATATACACAATGATAATCATACTCTCTTAATAACTGAAATAGCAAACAGAAAAGCAAGAATATAGGAGACTTGAACAATACTACCAACTTGCCTTGAATAACATTTATGGAGGATTTTGACATAATCAAACACTTTACCAAGCAATAAACAGCAAAATACACCACTGATTTAATTACAGAACACGTTTTCCTCACGTATACATGGAACACTGCCAAGACCACATTCAGGGCCACAAAACAAGCCTGAACATATTTTAAAGAATTTAAATCATATAAAATATGTTCACTGATCATATGGAATTAAACGTGAAATCAGTAACAGAAAGATATTTGGAAAGTTCCCAAATACCTAAAATAACCCACAGGATCAGAAATAAACTCACAAGTGAAATTAAGCTATGGTGGTGGTATGTGCCTACAATCCCAGTGTTTGGGAGGCTGAGGCAAGAGGATCACAGGTTCAAGGTCAATCTGGGCTACACAGCAAGTTCAGGGCCAGTCTGAGCTACACAGTGAGACTGTCTCAAAACAAAACAAACGTGAAATTAGAAAATATTTTGAATAGAAAGAAAATGAAACACAGCATAACAAAATTGATGAGATAGACTCAAACAGTGTTCAGGGGTAAATCTATAGAACAAAAAATAAGGCTTGGGTTGGAGGAGTGGCTCAGGTGGTAGCATGTCTTCTAGCAGACATAAAACCCCTGGTCCAAACCCCAATACCACCAAAAACAAGGTGAGGGAGGGGCTCAAATCAATGAAATTAAAAAAAAAAACTATAGAGACATAGCAATTAAAAGCTGGTTCTTCTGAGATAAATAAAGCACTTTGGGGCTGGGAGTGTAACTCAGGAGAGTGCTGCCTAGAAAGGGCCAAACCCTGAGTTGAAACCTCAGTACAGGCAGGAAAAAAAGGAAGGGAAGGAAACCAAGCAGAAGAGGGGACAGAAGGAGGAGACAGAAAGGGCGGGAGGGAGAGATTGAGAGAGGAAGGAAGGGCTTCAGATTCAACTGTCAACACAATGTGCTCAATGATGGTATTTAAAATATTTTGTTTCATTCTAAGTGTGACAATATGGAGACACAAATACAGACTTAGAAGTTACAGTCCCACTCCTATTATTTTTATCTGAAGAAATAAAAGATATCTCCATCCTTGGACAAAGCACATAGATCTTCCGAGCAATAGTTTCATTAGAAATAAAATAAAGGGATTGAATTAGATAATCCCTCAAAATTTATTTTAAGTTCTAAGATCTTCTAAATGCTAAAGAAGAGATACATATCCACTAACTAACAGTGCCAAATGACTTGAACAGCTGTTCTGGAAATCTGAATTAGAGCTGGGCACTTGGGGCTCACACCTGTAATATCCTAGCTATTAGGCAGAGATCAGGAGGATCACCACTCAAAACCAGTCCTGGGCAGACAGTTCCTTTAAGACCCTATCTTGAAAAGCTCATTTAAAAAACGGCTGGCAGAGTGGCTCAAGCAGTAAGAGTGCCTGCCTAGCAAGTGTGAGGCCCTGAATTCAAATTCCAATGCAGAAAAAACAAACAAACAAACCTGAGTTAGCACTTCCCTCAAAAGTAACCTTCTTGGGCCTGGAGGTGTGGCTCAAGTGTAGAGGATATGCCTAGCCTAGAATGAGGTCCTGAATTTAAATCCCAGTACCAACATCGATCCAAAAAAAAAAAAAAACAAAAGCTGGGAATGTAGCTCAGTAGCAGAGTACCTACCTAGCATATACAAGGCCCTGAGCTAGATCCCCAGCACCACAAGCAAGTAAACAAACAAACCAAGCTGCTGACCAGGAGGAAAATTGACTCAACCCACTCACAACTAAGTAATCTCAAATATCAGCTTGGTGTGTGTGGTGGTGGTGGTGGTGGTGGTGGTGAGGAGACAAACAGGAATTAAGTCTAATTTTAAAACAAAGACCAGTATTATTTAGTCTTTACATCCCTGCTTATTCCAGGATGATGGCCAGCTTTGACACATGACTTCTTCCTCAAGGCTGACAATGGGTTTATGTATACACACAATAATACAATTAGAATGTTACAGAGACTGAGATGGGGTAGGGGCCTCGTGGTCATAAAGAATTTGTTCAAATGACTGAGAGCCTGCCTTGGGTGAGGCATTTTTATTGTCTGATTTAGGCATCTTCTGCTGCTGTCTTTTCTTTGGAAAAAACGCCTTATTTGACAACAGACAGGACTAAAACCTGCCCTGACTGTCCAGATTTGGGTCACCAGGTAGACGAGTTAATTTAAAGCATGGACTCTGGAGCTAAACCACCTGAGTACTAATGCTGATTACTCTATTTACTGGCTTTCTCACCCTGGACAAATTACTTAACCTAATGGGGTGGTTATGAGAATTAAATGACTATTACAGGTAAAGATGTAATTATGAGTTTCTTCCAGTTTGATAAATACAGAAAATAAGACGAGTCTATAAAAGCCATTAAAACAGAACTTTGTGTAAAATTCACATTTCCCTGGATCTCCAGTCCTCTTACAGAGTTATGTATCTGTACACCTTCGTGAGCGGGTCAGTGCCTATGAAAGCATGAGTAAGAGGCATTTAGTGGGTTTCTGCTGCTTGGTGTAGTCCTAGGGATGAACCCTGGGCCTTGCGCATGCAGGGCAAAGTGCTCTACACTGAGCTTTAACATGAGAACGAATATTTTATGTTCAACTTTCCTCTGTGACACTGCAGACTTCCCACATTCTCTCTGGTTAAAGCAAGACAGTGTAAAAGAGGGGCTGTGGATATAACTCAGTGATTAAGTGTTTGCCTAGCATGCACAAGGCCCTGGGCTCAATCCTTAGTACCACCACCAAAAAAAGATAGTGTAAAAGAATTAAGTATAGCCTCTAGGTAACACTTGTTGCCACTGAATATTTTAACATTAAAAAATCTAGCGTAAGCCAAGCAGTGGTTCATGACTACAATCCTAGCTATTCAGGAGGCAGATACTGGGAGGATCTCAGTTTGAGGCCGACCCAGGCAAAAAGTTTGCAATACCCCATTTCAACCAATAAAAAGCTGGGCGCAGTGGCACACTCACCTGTCATGCTATGGAGAAAGCATACATAGTGGATGGCAGAACGCCTAGGCATAACACAAAACCCTATCTCAAAAATACCCAAAGAAAAAAAGGGTCCAGGCATGGCTCAATTGGTAGAGTGCCTGCCTACCAAGTGCTCAGGCCCCAGACTTCAAACCCCAGTAGCCACAAAAAAAATTCCACAAATGAATACAGTAACAAATTAGCGTGGTATAACTAGGCATGGTGGTGCACACCTATAATCCAAGCACTAAAGAGACAGAGGTAGAATGGTGAGTGCAAGACTAGCCTGGGCTACATAGCAAGACCCTGTCTCAAACAAAACAACACTTTAATGCCTCCTTCACCTCATTATGGACCAAATAACTACAACTCCACTGACACTCTCACGGCTCACTGGAAGTTATATGGACCAGTGGAAAGATGTGGTCACTTCCAATGCCATTCAACAACTGTGTGACATAACCAAAGGACCAAAGGCTCAGTCTCACTCCAGTGTCTATGGAGATACCTGTTCTCTGAGATACTGGGAGAATTAAGGCAGAGAGTGAATGAAATGTCCCCAGATTCCCTTCTCAATTCATGTTAACTTCCCCTCATTCAAGGGGGGGCAGAAGTCAGAGAAGTCTTCACAGCATTGTTTCATCTCACCTGACGTTTTTGACAAAAACCACCGGTAGGCCAAGTTGTGTAACCTGAACATAAATCGCATTTTCAGTACTCCTTCAGAAACTTTACTTCAAAATCACTAGGGGAATTAGAACAGGGTAGAGACACGCTTATGACAGAATCAAAATAATAGGACTTTTGGAATAAATGCCCACTTCAGAGCAAATAAGATAAAGCAGGTATCATCATAAATTGATGAGAATTCTGTGATCATCACTTTCTGCAAGAAGCCTCAAGAAATATTTAAATCTAATCAATTCTAATTTGAGGAGACTAAGTAATTATATCTCAACAGATTATTACTACTTGGAAAAGTATTCCACCATTAACTTATTTTGAGCCTACCCATGCAGGGATAGTCTTCCTCAAAATTAAATGTTCTAAGGTGCAAAGTAACTTTCTTAAGGGTGGATGTTTTAATTTGAAAACTTTAGCCAAAGCACTGTCATCTATGTACAGAACTTGAGCTTTAACCAAGGAATTGTTCCAAACTGTACAAATCCAGAGCCATAACTGGAGACTGGATTCTGTCACTTTTAAAAGTCAGTTATGGGCTGGGCATGGGACTCATATCTGTAATCCCAGGTACTCAGGAGACCATCGAGTTTCAAGGTCAAGCCTGCAAAAGTTAGGGAGCTCTCTTCCCAAAAAATAAGCAGGGAGGGGATTGGAGGGGTACACCGCATTCCCAGCTACATGGGAGGTACAGGTAGAAGAATCAGTCTGAGGATAGCCAGGGCAAAAATGCAACCCTATCAGAAAAACAAAAGCAAAAAGTCTGTGGGCGTGGCTCAAGTGGTAGAGTGCCTGTCAAGCAATCTGGAGGCTATGAGTTCAAACCCCAGTACTGCCAAAAAAACAAGTGACACTTTCTTTACGTTAATACTGTTAGCATCTATCCCATGTGCTGCTTTTTTTCATAGATTAATAGCTAACCTTAAGGTAACAGTGGACTCAGTCTGAAATTCAGACTAGATCATTCTGGGATAGAAAAGGATTGCTTTTTTACAAACAGCACTTACTGTTTGGTCTTGGGCTTTTTGAGACAGGGTCTGGCTATGTAACCCAAGATAGTTTTAGGGTTCATTTTAGAAGGGTGCACATACAGAAGAGAGGGATATATGTGGGGAGGGGAAGCCTGACCCGTGTTAAGAGTAGTCTACGCTCAAAGGCTGTGAACAATTTACGTAAGACAGAGCAATCTTAGAGCAACTGTTCAGTATCACACACAGTAAAAGTCCCCCAATGCTTAGATTAATTAGAAAATTTCCTTCTACCTTAAAGAAAGCCTTGCAAACCAGCACGTAACATCCTTGAAGTGTACTGCAATGTTATTTCTTTATTCCAGGGAACTACGTGGCAAAAATGAACCAGGAAAATGGAAGTAGCAAAAATAAAACAAGACCCCCAAACTGAAGGTATTAAAAAAACACATAAGCCTTCAAAATAAACAGCCAAAACCCAACAACAACAACAAAAAACCCCTAGTGCTAAGGACGCCCCGTTCCTGCTGCATCAAAGCAACACTTTAAGTCGCAGAAGGTCCGGTGCCACCTGAAGCCCGAAGCGGACGCTGCGGGCCCTCCACGGCAGCCACTCCTCGACGGACCCGCCGGGCCGCAGGCCACCCGGAGACGCGCCCTTCCCCCCCGCAGGTGACCCGCGGCCCTCTCGCGCCCTCGGGACAGCCACCACCTGGCAGGAGCACATTTCTTTGTTCTAAAAAAGGAAAAATGGCCCGAGCCGCACACCCAAGCCTCCGGCCCGCGAAGGCCGAGCGCACCCGTTCGGGGCGTTCCGCCACAGTCACGGCGCGACGCGCGCCAGGAAGCCGCGGGCCTCGCGCCAGCGCCGGCCCCGGCCCGTCCGCCGGTCCCCGGTACTCACACACGCACAGCTCCACCACGTACGCGTAGTACGACCAGGCGACCACGAAGGCGATGAAAAGCACCGGCACCCAGCCCACCACGCGCTGGCAGCCGCGCCACAGCGTCCAGGGCGCCATGTTCCGCTGGCCACGGCCCGCCCTTGCGTGCCTCGGCGGCTCTGGGGAGCGCCAGACCCCTGGAGTCCCCGTGCCCTCCGCACTCGACTCCCCCGACTCCCCCGCCTCCCCCGCCTCCGCGGCAGCGCTGGCCCGAGCCACAGAGCCAGACGCTCTCGCGGCTCCGCCCCTCGCGCCGCGCGGCCCGGCCCCGCCTCCGCCCGGCATCCCGCCTCCGCCTCCTCCCGCACCCGCACCCCGCCCCAGCCCCAGCCCCAGCCCCAGCCCCAGCCACAGCTCACAGCCGGGCCCGCGCCGCCGGGGCGGGGCTTCCCGGCGGAGGAGGCGGGGCCAAGGGCGGGGCCACGAGTCGGGGTCGCCCAGGGTGGGGGTGGGCGGGAGAGTCTGCCAAAGGGGAGGGCGGTCCCCTTGATGAGTGACAGGCACCGGATGGTTTTTGTCGGTGGGCGCTCGGGAAACTTAATCCTTAGCTGATTTGTGGCCTTGGGCCACTCGGTGAGCAGAACTCGAACTCGCTGCCTGGGGGCATGTAACCAGTGGGGTCTGCTCAAATGTGACAAGGCCATTCCTTACCCCAGCATGCAGCCGGGGAAAGTGTACTGTTATAAGGTTCCTGCTGTGATTCTGATGTGCATTTCTGATTAAGAACCTGTGTACTTTTGAAATGATTTCGTGCTTCAAGTGGAACACAAAAGGCCAATCAGTAGGTGCCTCTTTATTAGGATGAAGCCATCTGCAGCAGTCAGTATGATTTGGAGCCCACATTTAAGGTTGAGCTGAAGAAAGGGGAGGTGCAAATGGTCCTTTCACTGTCCCCCAACCCACTACTGAATTTTCAAGAATTTATTTACAGCTGCAGATGGATGAACAATGACTTGTAATCATAGTAGAATCTATGACACATCACTGTGAAGACATCATAATGCAAGGTCAAAAGCATTAGGAATAATTCCACACAGTATTTTTTTTTTTTAAGACAAGGTGTTGCCACATAGCCCCAACTGGTCTCAAACTTTCATTCCTCCTGCCTCAGCCTCCCCAGTGATTACAGATTACATAGGTGTACCACCATGCCTGGCTCCAGGTAGCATTTTAATACCATTCTTGCTACTACTATATCAATTTGGGTAAAGCTGAGATTTTAATTAGCTATTGCTCACTAAAGTTTCCAGGAAGAAAACTTCCCCCTTTTTTGTGTGAGATAAAGGTAGTAAAAGTAATTCATTTTCAATCACTGCATACTACTGCTTGAAGTAATAAAACGTGTAAATATTCTGTCCTCAATTTTCTACCTAAAAATCACATCGGTGGTAATATTCACAACAAGGCTTATGGCATTGAAGTGAATCAAATTCGGCTCCTTTTCCAGAAGGGCTGCTTATAAGGATTAGTTTCAAAACAGAATTCTAATTGACATGAGAGAACACAAAGCCCTTTCTCTTCCTGCAATGTCTACATGTCAAACCACGCTACATTTGTTCAGCACAAATGCCACGGCGCTCATGAACTCCCTGTCAGCAGAAGTGACTTCCTCTGGTTTAATCATTTATAACATTAGCTGTAAAACTATAACGTTAGTTTTTTAGGGCTGCCGTAGCAAAGTACCACAAACAGGGTCTTAAAACAACATGAACGCAATGCCTCACAGCTCTGGAAGCTATAAATCCTAAACCAAGGTGTTGAAACCAGGAGGGTTTCTTCCACTTTTTCCTAGCTTTTGGTAGTGGCCATCATTTTCATGGCATTTCTTGGCTTGCAGTGGGAGCACTCCAATCTCTGCCTCCATTGTCACCTGCCATTTTCCTTTCCTGTGTATGTCTTTGCATCTCCTCATATCAGATTCAGGGTCTACCCTATTGCAGTGTGAACCTCATCCTAACTAGGTACATAAATAATAGTCCTATTTCCAAATAAGGTTACATTCTGAATGGGGCCAGGTAGGATGTCAGCATATCTTTTGGGAGGTTACAATACATAACACAGATAATTTTGATTGTAATTGATATGAGTCACCTTGCCCACTATCTTGTAAGGTTCTTGAAGGTAATATTTCTTCTATATTCGGTTCCCCCCATAGAGCCGTGTAAATAGGAAATACTAAGAAATTGTTGAATATTTGAAGGCTTCTATTGTTATCCAGCTATTCTTCCTAACTTTTTAAGTCACCAACCAGATCAGTTTCTGATTTCTAAATGACTGCTCATGTTCTAAAAAGGTGTTGACTCTTACATAGGTTCTAAAAAAATATTTCAGGTCTACTTCCTTATTCTAAAACCATTCCAGTGAAGCCACATTTGGGGGAAGGAAGTAACATTTTCATTCTCTGTGAGTGTTTTTATCATCAGTGCCTATAGACTGGAGTTAATGTTCTTTTAATGTTGTTCAACAGGAACCAGCATCCTGGTCCCTGCCTTCCTTTCCATCTCTGCCACTGAATTGTGACAACACAGGATCATTTATAGACTTTAGGTAGGGTCATTATGAGGGCAGAATTGCATTTTATGACTGTCACTCTGGTCATAGTGGGAAGGATTGGAGGGAAAAAAAGTCTGCAGGATGGGGGACCAGTTGGGAGGCTGTGGCAGTCATAGAGGTCCAAGTTGAGGGTGACCTGAACCAGGGTGGCTACAGTAGAGAAGCTGATAAGGAAGCTGCTTAGACTTCAGATCAGCTTTGACGCATCAGCTCAGCTTGAAAACATAGCAATGACAAAGAAAAATGGAGACCTGAAAAGTGGAAGTGGAGGCTCCATCTTCCACTCCCAATCTCTATCCTCCCCATCTCCCCAAAAAGGAGACAGAAAAAAAGGTTGTGCTGATTAATCTAGGATTGCAGCCTTGCATGTGTGTGTGTGTGTGTGTGTGTGTGTGTGTGTGTGTGTGTGTGGTGCTGGGGATGGAACCCAGGGCCTTGCACATGCTAGGCAAGTACTGTACCACTGAGCTGTCCCCTAGCTGTATCATGGCTTTCTGTGGAGACTGAAGGACTGTAGATCAATAAGCCAGGAGTGAATCAAGCACAGCTGGCCTGGTGACTGGTTAATCTCTGGTTTCCCCATTCTAACCACCAGCCAGGGTCCTCTAAATGTCACTTTAAGTTCTAATTCTGGATTGAGGGCTGGGGAAGAATAAGGGCAAGTAGAGGCAATTACGAAACCATTAGGGCTTACAGAAACCATGCAGACACAGATCTGGAAGGAGCCAAGAGAAGAGAAACTCAAAATTAAACCACAATTCCAAAACACATGAAGAAATCTAACAGTAAGAAAGGGCACAATTAAAAACCAACAACAGAACTTGAATTCAGGGTTGGGGGTGGGGTTCGGGGGTAGAGTGCTTGCCTGGCATTTATGAGGTCCTGGGTGCAATTCCCAGCACCGCATGCACACAAATCCTGATGTCCCTCTTAAGTAGATTGTAAGACTCCTTTAAGAGGTGCTCTCCATGTACCCAGAGGAGAGGAACATCTGTATTCTAGAAGACAGTTCAGGAAGGATCTGAACAGGCCTTGCTGGGTTACCTGGTTTATTACCATTAGATCACACCCCTTGTCCTCCAAAAACACTTCTGCACTGTATTCATAAAAATACATGATTTTCCCTCTTTGTCTGTGTTTCTAAAGCCTCCATGTTACATAAAACTTAGTATTAAACAAATTTTAATACTTTTCCCGTATAAGCCTATCTTTTTTTTTTAATAGATGCCTCAGTTGTGAAATTTGCAATGGGTGAGACAACTTTTAACATTCTTTAATCACTTCAGAAAAGCTGTGTCTAGGACTGGTGGAACAAGCTCAAGCTGGAAGAGCATTTGCCTAGCAAGTGTGAGGCCCTGAGTTCAAACTCCAGTGTTGCCAAAAGAAAAAGAAAAAGAGAAAAGCAGAGGTGTATTTTGCTTTAGGGGCAAGTGAGTTAGTGAAAGACACAGTCGAGTCTGAAAGGCAAGTTGAGGCATACTGAGTATGAGAACAAAGAGCTTATTCAAGCCAAGAGAATGATCCCCAAGGGGATCACATTCTGGCCACCTAGGGTTAGCACTGCCCCAGAAGGTGTCCAAGTGGTCTGGGGCTTTGAGGCAGTTATCTGGTTTTTTTTCTGTTTCATTTCACTTCATTTTGTTTTATTTAATCTATTTCTGGTGCTAGGGATTAAACCCAGGGTATCACACATACAAAGCATACTTTACCACTGCCCAGCCACATTCCCTAGCCCAAGAATGGGGTTTTGTGACCAACCAGTTTGTACAGTTGCACAGGATGGCGACTGGTGGTTGCTCATGTTATGTGCTGTATTCCAAGTAAGAACTGTGGTAAGGGTTCCATTCCAGTCCTACCAAAAAAAAAAAAAAGCAGGAAGAATGAAGGAAAAGGCTTTCACTGAGGTTATTATCTTTTTGTCTGTTTTGATTTGTTTCTTGAGACAGGGTCTCACTAGATATCCCAGGCTGGGTTTGAACTTGAGCTTCTGCCTCAGCCTCTCAGTGCTGGGATTTGCCGATGCCACCAAGACTGGCTTTATGTGTTAGTGAAACTGCAGAAACCTGCAGTGCTGGGGCAGAGTGACAGTGGTGACTGCAGTCTCATGTTTCCCTGGACTAAAGAGTCTTGTAACCTGGCTCCAATTCTCTCACTCTCTCTCTCTCTCTCCCTCTCTCTCTCCCTGTCTCTCTCTGTCTGGCATTTTCAGTCTTTTCTCAGTGCAAGTCCACAGTTTTCAGTGATGCACTTGGGAGGAGAGACAGGGCACAGGAGTGGATCTGGGTGGGATGAAGGAAAAAGAAGAGGTGCAGACTATTCAGAAAGCAAAGGCATTGCTGCTGCTTAGAAAGCCTGTCTCCTCTCTCATTCACCATTTCAGTACTGCCACCAG